AGACTCTTGGTCGCGCCAGATGAGTTTAATTCCGGGGTGGCTCACTCATAGAGTAATTTCAGATAAAGTACACCGTCTGATCGTCGCGCTATCTTATTTTCGGCCGGTTAGATTCGTGCAATTTCTTTGCGTAATACCGAACTTAATCTGACTCTTATATCTCGTAGTCGTAGATATGAAGATTTGTTCTGAGGAAGAGCAACTGTTTGCTAAGTTGAATTTTTTCTGCTCTGGTCGAAACTATAAATAGTTTCAGCCCTACAAATTTTTGTAAGTGTTAGTTATGGATCATGATAAATTAGTTCTAAGTATTTTACTGAGATGGTTCATCAAGAATATAAAAGGATAAAATAAATACCTGATTTGAACTGGTTCCATCTTTCTCAAAGGTTTTGCAGATCTTTTTAAACAGCACGAAGAAAATTTCTAGAGCACTGTGTATATGAAAAGAGAACAACAAGTTCGCTTCCTTATTCTCCAGACTAAGCGCCTAAACAGTGCTGGGCCAGTGGTTCGCAGACCAACACAAACAAAACTCCTTTTTGTAGAGAGATCTGGACTTGCGCCTGGAAAGCAAGAACGGCGCCAATACTTGAATCCAGAGCCAAAAGCTTGTCAATGTGTTGAAATAATTATTAGCATACTTCTATATCATTGGGCAACAACATTAAATTTTTACCTTAAGGGTGAAAATTCTCGTGAACATAAGTACCTGTTGTATGTTTTGAAAAACATGTGTTGCTGTACATGTGACCTGTGGGTAGTTAAGGTTAAATATATAGGCTAAAAATACATACGACATGAATTCAAGTTTAGCTAGAAAATGTTTTGCTTTAATTTTATAAGATACTGTAAACTTTACTGTAAACGCGATTTTTTTTGTCAAAATTTTTCAAAAAGTGCCCAAAAACGGCTTTCTGATTGTTTTTTGCAAAAATTTGCCTACGGCGCAGAAAATTTAACCAAAATAGTGGCAAAACAGTGCTTTTGGAAAGCTCGAAAAATCAATTTGGTCGACCTAAAAAAAAAAGGTAAAAGGTCGTCAAAATTTTCGAACTTTTTTTGAAAATCCGAAACTCTTGAAAATCCGAAATTTTTGAACTTTTTTTTTGAAACTCAATTTGGAACAATTTTGTAGTGCGCGATAATGCAACACGCACAAATAAATCATCGAGTTACCAGAGCATAGCCAAATTAATAATTTTCCATTCCCGGAATAAGAAAGCTGAACCTTCGAAATGAGCAAATCCTACGGGTACTAAGCCGACACAAGTTTGCAGATGGGCGATAGTCCGATAAAGCAGAAAACTTTTTGTTGCAAAGAAAAAAGCGCATTGCCGGATTCAAATCACGAGTTTTTACCGTTCCTACAAGGTTTTTTGCATCTACACCAGATGCGTTGAATGGTTGGCTAGATTTTAATTGAGTATAAGCAAGCTGAAACCATGTAAAACTTTCACTAGCAAAACTTGTAAGCAAGGTTCTTTACAGAAAGAGTTTTGTAACGGGTTTCAACACCCTTGCTAAATATATGAAAAATGCATAAGCGGGGAAAAGGGTAGAGCCCAAAAACTTTTATGTTACTTTTAATATCAGCTTATTTTGGCCGAATATACGATCTCACGGTCTCAATGCCTCTTAGCATTTCTTTGACCCTCTACAATTCAACAAAATTTAATTACTTTTTGAGTAGAATTAAGCCAATTTGATGTTACCTCATGAACCTTAAAATGTAAATAGCTGAAATTATCAGTTTCCTTTAACCTTGATTACCGCGAGTTTAAATTTCAGCGATTGAAAGAATCATACGAATTATTGCATCTTCGAACATTTTGTTTTCGCACTCAGATCTTAGTTTGAGCCCCGCTTCGAAAATTGAATCAGAAATTTCATGAGTTGAAAGAATGATAAAAGTCTGTTAGGAATGCTACAACTCAACCCTCTGCTGAGACTACAAGCAGCTCAGTTTTGCCTCAATTTTGAGCTCACCTTGGATATTGATTTAAAAAATCGAGCTTCAATAGAAACTAAAAACCTACCTAACAGTTAATTGGGCAAGGGACAATAAAGCAAGTAAAAGACTAGAAAAGTTAGATTTAAGCCGGAAAAAAATTTAAAATTTTGCTGGAAAAAACAACAATTCTGTATGAGTCTGAACTACCTTCATCCAATCATGAAGTTTCTACTTATTTTCTTCGAATTGTTCGATAGAAACTTTTCTGCTGATCTTTTTTGTCAGAATTGGATCGATTTTTTTTGCAATTACGTTCGAAGTTTTATACCTTATCTACGTGGTCGGTCTTGCTTCTCACTGCGAACCAGGCAGTTAATCAAATATTCTCAAATAATTGAAAATGGGGAGGAACTTTCTATTCGGGTTTTAGTATTTTTTCTTTTTTGTTTTCCACGCAAAATCACCCACCACAAATAATCATCGGACAGGGTTGAGTGATATATCATATTAAAGCCCCCCTTTCAGTCGTGATTCGCAATTCGAAAAAAAACGGTTTGAAATTTTTGATTTTTCGTCTAATTTCGAGCGAGTGAGCAGGCTTCCATTAGCTTATTTACGCTAAATGAAATTAGTTTTTGAGTTTTTAGCTTCATCCTTTGGTTGAAAATTTGATTTTTTTTTTCAATTTTTTTTGTTATTTGTTTTAAAAATTGTTTTTTAACTTGCATATTTTACAATGACTGACGAAAATGCCTAAGCTCGATTTTCCGCTCAGGTTCCTTTATCACACCACACCGAAAAAAAACGACTTATTTGAAAAAAAAATTGTAATTTTTAAGACAGGTCGGAACATTGTGCTACTTGCACAGTAACCGTTTATCCTTGTTCTAACATGCAATTGTTCAGCATTCCAGCAAAGCGTCTAGCAATCAGTGAGGTCTCTGGACATCAGGGTTATTCAATCGCAGAATGAAAATTTCAACTGAGAAAGAAGAACAATACTGGACCCAAAAATTCGAAAATTGTAAGGATAAAATCACACAATTATCTGACATCTTTACTGAGGCAAATATTTGCAACTTTGTGAGTAATTGATAGTATAAAAAATTGATAGTGAGTTATTATAACCGCTCATGAAGAAAATGCAAAAAAAACCAAACACATTTCCTAATGCATTTTCTCTGGATCAGATAATTTAATTAAAAAAATTGATTTCTAATTGGTTGAGCTGTGTATAAAATGGCCGTTACATCCATTGCTTACGATGCAGAAAAGGCTGTGCCGTTCTGAAATTTTAACACTCCTGCTCTATTTCAGGGCGACACCCTGAATGTTCCGACCTTGATTATCGGATAGTTATTGGTAAAAAAATTATTTGGGAAATCATACTTTTTGGACATTATTAAACAACCACTGTAAAAATATGAGAAAATTTGAACAACAGATTTGCTTGCCTCAACTCAATTTGGAACAATTTTGTAGTGCGCGATAATGCAACACGCACAAATAAATCATCGAGTTACCAGAGCATAGCCAAATTAAAAAATTTTCCATTCCCCGGAATTTTACAAAAAAAATTGAAAACAAAATCTTTGTAAGACGTGAATTGCTATCTTCAATGGGGTATAACTTTTTTTTGATAGAATTTTTTTTATCTCGAGCACAGAAATTTGACTAAATAAAAATCACATCAAGCATAAGCTTTCCATTTTTCTTCGAAAACCGGAAAACATTTCTGCAATTTACTGTTTTACAGCAAAAATTTTTCGAACCTATGTGAATGAATGCAATTCAGGAAATCAAAAATTTTGCATTTTCATGCACAAATTTGTTTTGCGATGGGACTTGCTTAATTAATGTTCTTTCAAAATAGCTATATAAAAATAGCAAACGGAAGCTTGGAGAACATTTAAAAAAAACTGAAAAAAAGGTGTTTGAAGAGATTTTATTTAAATTTCGTAATTCGAAAAAAATATGAGGTTAAAGCTATTTGAATTTCAAGATTAATTTCTCTTTGATTCAATTTGCAAATTAGGTCAAAATTTAAACTTGGGTCAATCAAGACAAGATTGTCTACAACTTCCCTGTCATAAAACCCAGAAAGCATTGGAAAAAACAGCAAGTTGGCTAGGCTAGAAAGAAACAAGCTGACCTTAAATGATGATAAAACAAAAACAATTATACTATCTAAGAAGAGCGGCGGAAAATCAGATGTAAAAATGAATGTAATAATTATTGAAGAAAAACAATCGTAGAGGTGTTCAAATTGACTCTAAGCTTTCCTTTGCTGATCATATTAAAAAAATTGAAAATAAATTGTCGAGGTTTTGTGGGATGTATTACAGGCTGAGCAAAGTGTTAGGTAAAGATCAACTAATGAAAGCATATAACGCTTATGTGAAACCCATTTTACAGAATGGGATTTTGGCTTATCCGTCAACAGACAAAACGAAATTAGAAAAAAATTGAACTTAAAACTAAACGGCTTATAAAAATTATTTGTTTTAAGAGAAGAAAAGAAAGCACCGAAGAACTGAGACAAAAACGGAAAATATACTTCGTAAAGGAATTACATATCTATAAATTATTAAAGTTACTATGTAAGGTTTTGAGAAACGAGTGCATATCGGCCATTGTCCAGGAAGCTGTAACTGAGAAAAATTTGAATACAATTTTGAATAAGAGTTTTAGCTAGGCAGATACCTGTGCAATCAAAGGGTAGTAAAAAAAATCGGTTAAAATTTTTCGCTTTAAAATTTTTTTTCTCATTAAATCTTTTTTTTTGATTTCTTGATTAACTATCGATATTACAAAAAAAAACAGAAATCATAGCAGGATCATAGGCGCCATAAAACGGGCTGCATAGTTCCACGGCGTTCTCGCAATGAGATTTCGTTTGGTTGTAAATGTAGTAACGGATGTAATGGTTGTAAATGTAGTAACGGTTGTAATGGAATCTAATTTGCAAACAATTTATTATTATTATTTATTACTCCGCGCACTTCGCTTCCACATTCTGCTCATTTGCTTGTTTTTAAGAAAAAAAAAAGTTTCCAAGAACATAATTTAGAGAATGTAGCGTAACATTAAGTAGATTTAAGCGAATTTACATCAGAAAATGTCCCAGACAAAATACCAAATATACAATTTCTAACTGTATCATAAATTAAAACCCAAATATTCAGAATTCTCTAGACAAAAAATATAAGAATTTCGCATACACTCGGCGACATTTTGAAAAAACCCACAATCAACACAATTGTATATACAAGACAGCTGACATTAGAACACCTACACCTTTCATGCGTTTGTACAACAATCAATTTTTAACTACAAAATTAAACTTTGAGCACAAACAAGTAACTAAATAACTCTACTCTGTAAATTTCATTCAAATATTTGACTTCGATGATTTCAAAAAGCATCTTTGATATTGCGAATCGGCTTCACAGCCATATTAACAGGGAGTGTAAAGTTATGCTGGCCGAATTTTTCCAACAGTTTAGTGATGTCGTCAAAGTAAGCTTTGCTCATGTATGTCCAGCTAGTGTAGAACTGGTCGACAATTTCCTGCGTTCTCAACACAAGTCTGAACCAAAGCGCCAGTCGCTTCTCATTCAACCCACGACAGACGAACGCTTTAAACTGGGAGTCGTAGTTTCGTCTCAGTGGTTCGTGAGTAGACACTATGTCGTGGATGGCGGCCAGAATTGTCTGCTTTGCAGTTACAGCTGGTCTCCCCATATACGATGCCCCACTGCTTGATGACATAGCAGTGGAACTACTAGCTGCGGGCGAAAACGTATCCAGCCTGAAAGCGTCATTCAGCTTTCTAGCTGGAGTATGGACGTAGTCGTTTCCGTTTTTGATCTCATAGTAACTGAGAAACAGTTGCCATATATGTGCAGCTGCCACTGCTGAGCTCGTCTTCCGGAGCCTAGCTGAGCGGCCGCTGAAACAGTTGAAGGGGGACACTGCCCCCGCTTTTCCCGACAATTCATTGTCGGAGGTAGGAATGCTGGAGAATTGGAGGAGATCCTTGAGGCATATGACTAGGTTTCTCCTCACTGACTTGACCAATTCTGCATTTACCAACACAGCAGGCGTGTCTGAGGAGTCGGATAAATAGTCCGTGTCCGCACAGGATCTAGAAAACGTATCATTAATTACTCAAAAATTGAAACTTAAAAATAGTAAAATTTTATATGTATTTGGGAAGCCAGAAAAATTTACCCAGATAAAAAACGCGATCAATTCGACGATTTTTGACAAATTACCAAAATGCAGACTCACTCAGTGTTTTTCTCAATGATGAAGTCAACGGTCCTTGCTAGTTTGTTCAGTTTCGTTTTAAACATGTGTTCAAACTCCTCTTTCTCAGATCTCAACTCTCCGTCTTGCTTCCTGGAAGTTGTTTTGCCACTCTTCAAGTGGTTCCCACCCACACATCCCATATTGGCCAAAAGATACATCTGGATCAGGTACATTGTTTTCTTGACCGTGTTGTATGTCTCCCTCTTTTGCTCGTTCTGTTCTTCGTTTGACGTACTTGCGTCTTGTTTGTTCTTCGATTCTGAAATGAACAGGTAAAACGACTCACTAGTTCTCTAGCTGTTTAGAGGCAGTAATATTGATTTCAAAATACATCTGATGTTGCGAGCGAGGATGTTCGGTACTAATATTAAAACATGGAAACAAATTGGGATATTCTTTGAATTACTTCTTATTGAACTACCGCTTGTTTGCTTCAAACAAACACGTAGAAGGCCATAAAAGGCCCAAAGGAAGAAAGTGAATTGAGCGTTCAATCAATGAAATCAACTAACTGTTGCGAGCAAAAAATTTGGCCTTTGCACTGTTTACAGTCTCGGTGCCACTCGAGTGGTGTCCCTGACACTGGCTGGAGGAGGAGGCGTCTGCCAGATGGACTGGACACTTCTTGTTGCAGGCACAGAGGGCCTGGTTGCCCACTGGGGCCACACTGCCCTCCACCATCAGGAAGTCGATGAACCTCTCCAGGTCGCTGATCTGGGACTGCAGCTGGAACAGAAGATCCTCCTTCGCTTTGGCCGGGTTGATAATCCTGAACAGCAAAGATAATTCAAAAAACGGTGCAAATAATAAAAAATACAATGAACAAAATTGATGTGAACGAAAAAAAAGTATCACGTGAATATAAATTTGATCAAAAGGACACAAGTGTTGCCACAAATTTGCCGGATTCTATTTAGTTGTAATCTTCAATCGGTGATGTAAGCTTCATGCTATTCAAACTCTTTTGACAGATTATGTTCATGCTTCTATTTGCATCTAAATCAAACCATTTTTTTCCATTTCGGTCAAAGTTACATACTTTTATTCAAGCTTTCATCCTGTTTGCAATGTACAACAAGCGCACTCCTCACATTAAAGGCAAGGAAGGAGTACTTATGATAAAATAATGGCACCGTTGAAGAGATGAGTCGACGATTGTCTTGAGTTGTTCGGTGGTGAGGTTTTCAAAGTCGTCCAAGTTGATGTTGAGTCTGCTCCTCAGCTGGTCTATCATCGCCTTCTGTTTTTCAACCAACACCGACTGTGGCAGCTCGCCCTGGCCACTTTCATATGCAAAAGTCTCCAGTTCCTGCAGCTGTTCTTTCAACTCTACCAATAATATATTAATTGTTTTCTGGTTTTTCAAAATATAGACCATTTATTCAGGCGGAATATGAAATCTTAATGAGCTCCCAATTCAGAAACTTATACATAGCCAACAGAAATTTGAAAAAAAATCAATTAAATCAAGGAAAACAAATATATTCTTTTTGAATATTTTTCCACTTTCGAATTTCGCAGAAAACAATATAATACGTTTAAGCTCTTTGATCTTCACTAACTTTTCATAAAATTAAGCCAATGAGACAAAAGTGGGGGAAGAGTTAACTTTTTGGACCATGTGAACAATCCCCCCCCCCATAAATTGATTTAGGGGGGATAACGTTCACTTGATTTAGTTTTTTAGCAAATTTTCGAGCGATGCGAATTTTCAACCAATCAAAATGCAGTGTTTTTGAGGGAAGAAATAATAAGACGAGTAAATATTTGATCGCTTATACAGTGCTGATTTAATGATTAAAATTATCCGGACAAAACAAACAAAACTTGAATTTTCAAACGCGTTTTTCTCAAATTGGGAAATTAATATGGTGCAATTTTTTCGCCGAAATTCTCAACCAAAATTTTACCCCAAAAATGGGTCATTTTGCCTTTTTTCAATTAATCAAGAATTACACTGAAATAACATTATTAATTGATGAGAAAATTATATCACAAGAAGCCTCCTACATAGCCCAACAAACTTTAAGAAGGGTTAAATCTCCAAAAATTTGCGCAAATTGTTTACAATTTGTTTTTAAACAGAGATTCTGGGTTTTAAATAGTAAAAATCACATTTATTGACTATCAAGTAAAAACTTTTTCTCTTATACTGATTTTTGGAGATTTAACTCTTCTTAAACTTTGTTGGGCTATGTAGGAGGCTTCTTGTGACATAATTTTCTCATCAATTAATAAAATAATTTCAGTGTAATTCTTGATTAATTGAAAAAAGGCAAAATGACCCATTTTTGGGGTAAAATTATGGTTGAGAATTTCGGCGAAAAAATTGCACCATATTAATTTCCCAATTTGAGAAAAACGCGTTTGAAAATTCAAGTTTTGTTCGTTTTGTCCGGATAATTTAAATCAGCACTGTACAGTGTTGATTTTCTCTAAATTATCCGTACAAAACGATTAAAACTTGAAACTTTAAACGAGCTTGTCTCACATTGGTCAGACTTTAGACAAAAAGTGCTCAAGAAAAAAACTAGCTTAGAATTTCAGCATTCAGCAAAATAAAAATGGTGTAATTTGTTTTGCGAAATTGGGTTGCAAAATTTAACCCTTCAAACGACCATTTTCGGATTATTTAGTCAATTAAAATTACACCAAAACTATTGGTTCAATTGCTGGCAAAAATTTATCAAAGTGAGGCTCTTATATAGCTTAACAAAATGCAAGAAAACTATAATCGTCTGTTTTGTATAATTAAATTTATTTTAGTTTGATAGCCAAGAAATGTCCATTTTACTATAGAGCACCAATTGTTTATTTCAAAACAAAATTTAAATATCAAGCCACAATTTTTGGAGATCATACCCTTCTGTTGTTTTGTTAGGCTATGTAAGAAGTCTTTTTGTGGTTAAATTTTGGAACCAAATTTCGCAAAATTACACAATATTAATTCTGCCGAAATTCTCAGCAAGTTTTGTCTTCATCATTTTTTTGTCTGAAGTCAATCCAACTTCAGAAAAACGTCTTTTAAATATCAATTTTTATTCGTTTTGTCCGGATAATTTAGATCGCGTTTATTGTCTCAAACTGGCAATCTTTTAACCCCCATTCAATAACTTAACAAAATAACACCGCCCGCAGGTTAAAAAAAATCTTTTTAGTTTTCAGCTCAGGAAAACAATATTTTTCGATTGATCAAAAAAAATTCCACCCATAAATTCCGTCAAAAGTTGCTTCGACAAAATTCCTTCAAAAAATGTCTTCTGTTTTTCAACCAACACCGACTGACTAATTTTTGATTGACACAAACGAATCCGAAAAACGTCGTTTTTGTGGCTAAATTTTGGAACCAAATTTCACAAAATTACACGATATTAGTTGTGCTAAAATTTTAAGCACCCATAAATTCCGTCAAAAGTTGTTTCGACAAAATTTCGTCAAAATCGTCTTTTTATTTGGTTGAGGTTGATAAAGTTCACTTGGTCAATTTTTTTTTGGGGGGGGATGGAATGTTCACTTAGGCAAACTTTTTTCAGCTGAAAACTCTGATTGAACAGTCCACTTTTGCGTCTTCCATTTAGCAAATGAATATAAATTGAACTCGAAAAAAATCAAAGTCACAACTCGAGAAATCTTCTAATTAAAAAAAAACGGAAATTATCACTTCGTTCGTTTACACCGAAGACTTTGATTGAGCCTTTTCTTTTAACACTTCGCGATCATGGGAAAAGCAGAAATGTAAATCGATCCCCAACAAACCCAAACTTGGACCATATTTACCTCCTATCAACTCCTGCTGTTTTCTCTTTTGTTCAGCCAGTTTAGCCTCATGTTCCGCGGCTGATATTTCTTCTTCGCTCTTTGTTGATGACGCCAAGCTTTCCTTACTTTTCATAACTGAAACAATCATTACTTGCGAATGAAAAAATAGCTCAAGTACCGCATAGAAATTGCTCCAGATTGATCTTCGGGTCGCATACAATATACCATTTTTAATGAACAGGAACCAAAAATGATTAAATATATTTGCATTTGACTAGATTTGATTGATGATGGAAAATTTCATGAAATCTGATACGATATATAGCTGTTTAATGAGCTGTTACGGTTTGTACAACAAAGTCATTAAAACCAGTAATAGCCTAACCTTGTCTTGTATCTACACACCCCTTTCCTGCAAATTCCTCCAATTCGGCCAACAAGTCTTGTTTCAGATGAGGTGGAGCATTAATAATCTGTTTCAGTCTAAACTGAACCTGAGCAAAGTGTGATGTGAGGTTCAACAAGCTTGAATTCAAATCTTCTTGCTTTTCTTCGAGTACTTTCAGACGTCCTAGTTTCACTTCTACTGTTTCATTTGTACCCGCTTCTGAAGCGCCAGGGATCGAGTCAACCATACTCACTGATTCCTCGGCAGGTGCACCGATGGGTGCTAGTCTTGGCCCGAAACGGGAAGGAATATTGCACGAGCTGGCGCCTCCGACAGATGCTGAGTCATCTAAGTCGCTTTCCGCTTCGGAGATTGACGAGTGACTGCTGCCGAGACCTACTTGGGAGTGACTCCTTGAAAAATTATTTTCTTCCGGCTGCGACTGGGCAAACGGGTCAAAATTGGGGCGATTTAGGCTCATTTGAGGGACAGCCATGCATTAAGTAGACTGTTTGACAACTGTATTGCAAAAAACTGAAGCCAACGATGAAACTTTCAAACAAGCGTATGGCTAAACTAAACAATTAGCAAGTCAATGCCCATTGTATAAACTGAAAAGGAACGCGAAATGTTGGACTGAATAAAATACGAATTTCAGCTGACTTAATCATTTTTTCATTTAGCACTAGATCGGAAATAATGAGAAAACAATTTATCTTCATCATTGAAGTAGCTTTAGTGGACCATTTTGTTCGAATTGAAACACAGCAATAAGTTGAAATATACAGGAAATGATTTTAAATTATCGCACCGATGACGTCAAACAAAGATGGAATAAATGAACAGACTTTTGACGTCAAGAATTCGAACCCAACTGATTGAGTTTACAATTTCCAATTACAAACACACTCCTGAAAGGAAACTCTCTAACGGAAGGTCTAATTTTATCCAAGCATAATAGAACCGAGCAAGAAATTTGTTCCGCAATTAACTAGGTGACATATTTCCAAGACTGAACCTAAAACAGTCAGCTTCTAAATCCCAGACTGATCCTCAACAGTTGGCACGCGCCAACAACTTCCCAACAATTCTGCGTCCCCGGTATTATTGGGCAGCCATACAAGATAAAAATTTTAGATTTATGGGGAACCTATACATGAACTTATTTGATAAGAACAAAATAAGGGAATTGCGACTTGGCAATTTCGACAAATTTGAAGGCGTCTAATTGGGACACCTTGGCGGCACGGTGAGGGATTTGTTAGTTCAAAACTTTTGGGAAAAAGATTACTTAACACATAGGCGCAGCGGAGCTTCGCACCACTTGTGATACCATAAAAACATTATATAGCAAGCTAGCGGGCAGAAATTGAGACCACTAGAAAATTTTAAGGTCGAAAAACGAATACTTCATATGTTTGACTCATTTTGAAGACAACCTCGAAAAACACAACCTCAGATGTTGATATAAACATTCAAACATTTGGCAAACTAGTCAAAATTGGGGTGATTTAGGCTCATTTGAGGGACAGCCATGCAGTAAGTAGACTGTTTGACAACTGTATTGCAAAAAATTGAAACCAACGATGAAAACTTCAAACAAGCGTATGGCTAAACTAAACAATTAACAAGTCAATGCCCATAGTATTAACTGAAAAGGAACGCGAAATGTTGGACTGAATAAAATACGAATTTCAGCTGACTTAATCATTTTTTCATTTAGCACTAGATCGGAAATAATGAGAAAACCAATTTATCTTCATCATTGAAGTAGCTTTACTAGACCATTTTGTTCGAATTGAAACACAGCACTAAGTTGAAACATAGGGGAAATGATTTTAAATTATTGCACCGATGACGTCAAACAAAGATGGAATCAATGAACAGACTTTTCATGTCAAGACTTCGAACCCAACTGATTGAGTTTACAATTTCCAAATACAAACGCACTCCAGAAAGCAAAATCTCTAACGGAAGGTCTAATTTTATGCAAGCATAATAGAACCGAGCAAGAATTTGTTCCGCAATTAACTAGGTGACATATTTCCATGACTGAGCCTAAAACAGTCAGCTTCTAAATCCCAGACTGATCCTCAACGGCTGGGACGCGCCAACAACTTCCCAGCAATTCTGCATCCCCGGTATTATTGGGCAGCCATACAAGATAAAAATTTTAGACTTATGCGGAACCTATACATGAACTTATTTGATAAGAAAAAAATAAGGTAATTGCGACTTGGCATTTTCGACAAATTTGAAGGCGTCTAATTGGGACACCTTGGCGGCACGGTGAGGGATTTGTTAGTTCAAAACTTTTGGGAAAAAAGATTACTTAACACATTGGCGCAGCAGAGCTTCGCACCACTTGTGATACCATGAAAACATTACATAGCAAGCTAGCAGGCAGAAATTGAGACCACAGAAATTGGAAGCCACTAGAAAATTTTAAGGTCGAAAAACGAATACTTCATATGTTTGACTCATTTTGAAGACAACCTCGAAAAACACAACCTCAGATGTTGATATAAACATTCAAACATTTGGCAAACTAGTCAAAATTGGGGTGATTTAGGCTCATTTGAGGGACAGCCATGCAGTAAGTAGACTGTTTGACAACTGTATTGCAAAAAATTGAAACCAACGATGAAAATTTCAAACAAGCGTATGGCTAAACTAAACAATTAACAAGTCAATGCCCATAGTATTAACTGAAAAGGAACGCGAAATGTTGGACTGAATAAAATACGAATTTCAGCTGACTTAATCATTTTTTCATTTAGCGCTAGATCGGAAATAATGAGAAAACCAATTTATCTTCATCATTGAAGTAGCTTTACTAGACCATTTTGTTCGAATTGAAACACAGCACTAAGTTGAAACATAGGGGAAATGATTTTAAATTATTGCACCGATGACGTCAAACAAAGATGGAACCAATGAACAGACTTTTCATGTCAAGACTTCGAACCCAACTGATTGAGTTTACAATTTCCAAATACAAACGCACTCCAGAAAGCAAAATCTCTAACGGAAGGTCTTATTTTACGCAAGCATAATAGAACCGAGCAAGAATTTGTTCCGCAATTAACTAGGTGACATATTTCCATGACTGAGCCTAAAACAGTCAGCTTCTAAATCCCAGACTGATCCTCAACGGCTGGGACGCGCCAACAACTTCCCAGCAATTCTGCATCCCCGGTATTATTGGGCAGCCATACAAGATAAAAATTTTAGACTTATGCGGAACCTATACATGAACTTATTTGATAAGAAAAAAATAAGGTAATTGCGACTTGGCATTTTCGACAAATTTGAAGGCGTCTAATTGGGACACCTTGGCGGCACGGTGAGGGATTTGTTAGTTCAAAACTTTTGGGAAAAAAGATTACTTAACACATTGGCGCAGCAGAGCTTCGCACCACTTGTGATACCATGAAAACATTACATAGCAAGCTAGCAGGCAGAAATTGAGACCACAGAAATTGGAAGCCACTAGAAAATTTTAAGGTCGAAAAACGAAGACTTCATATGTTTAACTCATTTTGAAGACAATCTCGAAAAACACAACCTCAGATGTTGATATAAACATTCAAACATTGGGCAAACGGGTCAAAATTGGGGTGATTCAGGCTCATTTGAGGGACAGCCATGCATTAAGTAGACTGTTTGACAACTGAATTGCAAAAAATTGAAACCAACGATGAAACTTTCAGACAAGCGTATGGCTAAACTAAACAATTAACAAAACAATGCCCATTGTATAAACTGAAAAGGAACGCGAAATGTTGGACTGAATAAAATACGAAATTCAGCTTACTTAATCATTTTTTCATTTAGCACTAGATCGGAAATAATGAGAAAACCAATTTATCTTCATCATTGAAGTAGCTTTAGTAGACCATTTTGTTCAAATTGAAACAGAGCAATAAGTTGAAATATAGAGGAAATGATTTTAAATTATCGCACCGATGACGTCAAACAAAGATGGAATAATGAACAGACTTTTGACGTCAAGAATACGAACCCAACTAATTGAGTTTACAATTTCCAATTACAAACACACTCCTGAAAGAAAACTCTCTAACGGAAGGTCTAATTTTGCAAGCAAAATAGAACCGAGCAAGAATTTGTTCCGCAATTAACTAGGTGACATATTTCCATGACTGTACCTGAATCAGTAAGCTTCTAAATCCCAGACTGATCCTCAACGGTTGGGACGCGCCAACAACTTACCAACAATTCTGCGTCCCCGGTATTATTAGGCAGCCATACAAGATTAAAATTTTAGATTTATGGGGAACCTGTACATGAACTTATTTGATAAGAACAAAACAAGGGAATTGCGACTTGGCAATTTCGACAAATTTGAAGGCGTCTAATTGGGACACCTTGGCGGCACGGTGAGGGATTTGTTAGTTCAAAACTTTTGGGAAAAAAGATTACTTAACACATAGGCGCAGCGGAGCTTCGCACCACTTGTGATACCATAAAAACATTACATAGCAAGCTAGCGGGCAGAAATTGAGACCACTAGAAAATTTTAAGTTCGAAAAACGAATACTTCATATGTTTGACTCATTTTGAAGACAACCTCGAAAAACAACCTCAGATGTTGATATAAACATTCAAAAATTGGGCAAACGGGTCAAAATTGGGGTGATTTAGGCTCATTTGAGGGACAGCCATGCATTAAGTAGACTGTTTGACAACTGTATTGCAAAAAATCGAAACCAACGATGAAACTTTCAGACAAGCGTATGGCTAAACTAAACAATTAACAAAACAATGCCCATTGTATAAACTGAAAAGGAACGCAAAATGTTGGACTGAATAAAATACGAAATTCAGCTGACTTAATCATTTTTTCATTTAGCACTAGATCGGAAATAATGAGAAAACCAATTTATCTTCATCATTGAAGTAGCTTTAGTAGACCATTTTGTTCAAATTGAAACAGAGCAATAAGTTGAAATATAGAGGAAATGATTTTAAATTATCGCACCGGTGACGTCAAACAAAGATGGAATAAATGAACAGACTTTTGACGTCAAGAATACGAACCCAACTAATTGAGTTTACAATTTCCAATTACAAACACACTCCTGAAAGAAAACTCTCTAACGGAAGGTCGAATTTTATGCAAGCAAAATAGAACCGAGCAAGAATTTGTTCCGCAATTAACTAGGTGACATATTTCCATGACTGTACCTGAATCAGTCAGCTTCTAAATCCCAGACTGATCCTCAACGGTTGGGACGCGCCAACAACTTACCAACAATTCTGCGTCCCCGGTATTATTAGGCAGCCATACAAGATTAAAATTTTCGATTTATGGGGAACCTGTACATGAACTTATTTGATAAGAACAAAACAAGGGAATTGCGACTTGGTATTTTTGACAAATTTGAAGGCATCTAATTGGGACACCTTGGCGGCACGGTGAGGGATTTGTTAGTTCAAAACTTTTGGGAAAAAAAGATTACTTAACATATAGGCGCAGCGGAGCTTCGCACCACTTGTGATACCATAAAAACATTACATAGCAAGCCAGCAGGCAGAAATTGAGACCACAGAAATTGGAAGCCACTAGAAAACTTTAAGGTCGAAAAACGAAGACTTTATATGTTTAACTCATTTTGCAGACAATCTCGAAAAACACAACCTGAGATGTTGATATAAACATTCAAACATTGGGCAAACGGGTCAAAATTGGGGTGATTTAGGCTCATTTGAGGGACAGCCATGCATTAAGTAGACTGTTTGACAACTGTATTGCAAAAAATTGAAACCAACGATGGAACTTTCAGACAAGCGTATGGCTAAACTAAACAATTAACAAGTCAATGCCCATTGTATAAACTGAAAAGGAACGCGAAATGTTGGACTGAAAAAAATACGAAATTCAGCTGACTTGATCATTTTTTCATTTAGCACTAGATAGTAAATAATGAGAAAACTAATTTATCTTCATCATTAAAGAAGCTTTAGTAGACCATTTTGTTCGAATTGAAACAGAGCAATAAGTTGAAATA